ATGCAACATCATAAGCAACCCTGTTGCTATTCTATCATCATTTCCATGACAAATGTTCAGATTAGCGCTCTATTGTTTAGTCCTACCATTTCAGATATTTGTAGCTAGGAATTGTCATGTTACATCCATGGAGTAAAATCAACCACATTTCTTCTGTATTCCAATTGTAAGCAGTCAGACCTCAACCCCCAGGACTGCTACTTTGTGGAACAGACTCCTGCAGAGATGCTTCCCTGAACACTAAAGTTTTAATCTCTTCAGGTCAAAGGTCAAACATTGTCTATACTCCTTATCATCATAATCTTTAATTCCTTCTACATCCCTTACATTCATATCATGTACCTCATTCAGTAACCATCTACTTAGAGTTATATTTGATGGAATACCACACCACATCAAAGACCTCTGCACATATCTGAGTCATAGCTCAGCAGCAGATGTGTTTACCGCAAGTAAAAGCAAGATTTGACATTCATATGAGTGAATGGATCAACCAACAACTGATAAAATCTTGATTGAGACTCAAGAACCTCCCCTGTGAAGGAGTACCAAAAATAAAAATGGCTGATGCTGTGATGAACAAATTGGCTAGGAGTGTAGAAGAGAACAAGGTCAACACAAAAATGGTGTGTCTGGTGTAGGTAATCTAGAGTAGAAATGGAAGGTCTTATTAGATAATAGGCGACTTCCACAAGCAGACATGAGAGGACATAAGTTACCTCCTCAAGTGTTATATAAGTAGCTGAGTGGCCGCGAGCCAAGGGTATTTTTTTGTATTAGTATCTCTCTGCGAGATATTTTACTGTGTTGGTTTCAATATAAAACCAACAATTAAGATCCAACAATTGATACAGTACATTGAAAACTGATTTTCAGAACTGCATTTTGACATAACATTTATTTTATTTGTTTCTAACAAGCAACCATGAAAGAAACTATAAAGATAATAGATATTGTTTGGAACAGAGAAATTCTTTCACCAAATGGAAGAACTAAAAAATAGTAAATGTATGATAAGAAAAATGGAAGCAGAGGAAAAATGAAGTAAAAAACAAGAATGGAAATAAAGCAAAGAGGAAAATAAATGGGAAGGAGAATAAAAAGAGGAATAGAGGAAGATAGAAAGATTATGAGAAGGTTGAGAAAAATTAAATAATTATGTGAGGAGAATGCTTAATGTTTCTCTTCTAATGATGCACAAAATTAAATATGAAAAATTGACAAGTTTCTTCTTTGTAAGTTAGTGAATTTGTATATTTGGGATACAATATGTCAGCTTTCAACAATCATATAATTGAGATAAATCATGTTAGAATGAGGATGGGCAACTTAGAGATAAAAACAAAATTATATTAGAATTGAAAATATAGCAATTACACTGTAAGCACAAAATCTCTGAACCATATGTTTTTCTAGCTGTTATGTATTGGCTTGATTGCAGCACATGGCAAGAAAAAATTCTAAAATGTTTAGGTTTTCCAGAAAAAGATTATGAATTTAAATACTGACTACACGGTAATTGAGAAAATAAAAATAAAAACACTATAAATGGCAAAACTGTCACCTTGGTTTGATTAAATTAAGAATAAATCACTTAAACTTTTAGGACATATTAAATGGTAAAAAATAAAACTCAAAATTCCTGGACAAAGAAAAAGAGGCTGATTAAAATTCATATTCAATTGACTAGTCTTATAACTTTTTCCATATAAATCAAGTTGAATCTGATCAAATAATTTGAAAAAGTATAACTCACATGAACTAACAATCTTTTACAAGAAGAAATAGCATGTTAAATTCATGTCAGGTTCCTTATCTTTTATGACGTGTCAGTCTGTGAGTCAAATTTTGTCAGTGTTTCCTTAAGTAATTTCTCAAGATCATTTATTTTGGTGATAGACAACTTTGGAGAAAATTTTACATTCATCTTAAATTTTGTTGTCAAAATTTTGCAGAGATCCTTCATGTATGAAGTAATTAATCTTATTGATTTAATATCTAAAATATTTTCTGCACACCAGGAAGATTTTTTATTATCTGGCTGTTGGAACCATGCTGTCAACACTTTTAATGTCTGCAAGGCTATACTGTCACAAGGTTGGCCAAATTGTTGGTGCTCCATCTGTATTGTTTCATTAGATTTAATGCAGAATACCTCCTGCTTAAAATCAGTGAGAGATGCGAGAGCAATACTTTCCATTAGCATTCCTTGCTTTATTCCCTCCAGCAACATCCAGGTAATCTGAATTCTGAATGGTAACTGAGACATTTTTGTGCCCAAATCTGTCAGCTTATATTTGCCACTGTCATTGAATACAGCTCCAAGACTCTCAAGATGTTTAATGGTGTGGGATATTCTCTCTTTCTGAACATGTGTAGGGAATTCAAATTTCATAGGATCAATCTCTTGGTTGATAAGATACATGACAGCTTTTTCTATAGTCCCAGCCAGGGACATTTCATTAGGCTGCACTGCCTCCATGTCTTTGAAATCATCTGAAGAATATAAACGATAACATTTCCCCTTAAAAGAGCTTCCAGCTCTCTCTTTTCTACGTTTAGCTGATTCTTGAGTGATAAATGAGATGGGAAGCTCAGTTTTATTCCCCGACTCCAAATATTTTTCCTTTTGTTTGCCTGTGTCAATAACATATCTGACATTTGGAATTGCCATCATCACTTCAGCACAATCAGTAGTAAAAATTATCTTTCGTTTCCCAAGAGGCAATGGTTTATAAATGCCTTTTAGTTGTTCATAGTTTAGCCCACTGTGCAGAGAATGGCACATATAGTTATCCTCTTTTAAACTTGACTTGAAATCTGTGCAACACTCAAGGGCTTCAGTAGCCGAAGCCACAAACACAAGAATGTCACCTTCAGCTTCTGTACAATGAACTGCTAAAGCTTTCTCAACAGCAGGCTTTTTCAGGCACTTGGTATGATCTTCTTGATCTGGTGGGCTCCAAATCACTTGAACAGGAAAAAGGCTGGCACTTACTTCTAATAAAACAGAATCAGTAAAAAATGACTGGTAAATACTGATGTCCGCTGGAGCAGTTAGGATAACAAGTCGCAATCTGGGGAGTTTCTTGAGTTCTTGCTTGAGAAGACCCAGGAGTAAATCTGCATAAACTGTCCTTTCTTGGGCTTCATCTATTATAATACAGGAATAGACAGAAAAGGAATTGATTTTCTTAAACTGTTCCAACAGTTCATGTTCACTCATATACAAAATGGTGGTGTAGATTCCCAGATGAATGTTGTTTTCAGATGAGAAACCAACCAAATTTCCCAGAGGGCTGTTAACTTCAGCAGCTACATACTTGGCCATTGAAAGTGCTTGTTTCTCAGATGGTTCACTACACACTATTGGGCCATCATCAACAAGTGATGTTTCTGTCAGATACTGTACCAGCTGAGTGCTTTTTCCTGATCCACACTTACCCATCAAGATAGTGACTTGATTCTTCAAGACTGTCTCGGTTATTTCTGTGCGAATGCCATAGAGAGGCATTTCCTTAGACAAGAACTTTTTCTCTTGGTCTAACTTTTTAGAAATCTTTTCTTTCTCTACTAAATCTTCTCTCTCATTTTTTGGTAACTTTTCCATTTGTATCTGCAGATGATTTTCAGATTTTTTATATTCAAGCAACTGACACAAAAGTTCTCTTTCTTTATGTTCAAAGGCTTTCATATTGCTAGCAATAGTCTCCTTCAATGTGAATGTAGTTCCCACAGAACGCATAAGGGATGTTATTTCTTTACGCACACTTTCAATCTTCTGTTCATGTTCTTGGATAACATCATTCTGACATTTCAGTTTGTCTTCTGGTGTTTTCTGTTTGCCTTGAAGAAGGTTCTCTTTAGCAATTCTTTCACAATCTATTTTTATGGAATTATTCTTGTTTGAAGATTTGAATAAATTCATAGCCATGTTCATTTGGTGTTTGCTCTTGAATTCTAGCAGAAATCTCACATAGCCAGTGATCTTATCCTTTGTAACAGATTTAGCATCAAATTTAATTTTATGTTTTAATCTCTCACTCAGATGCTTTGACAGACTCTGCGTAATGTCAATATTTTCATTGATAATCACATACAATTCCCAGGTTTTAGATTTTTCCCCATCTTTGTTTAGATCACCTTGTGGGACTTTATTTTTGATAAGCTTTTGTTGACTTCTATTTTTACCATGTGTGGGATTATTAATACTTGCTGAATGGTTTCTTTTTGGTTTGGAAGATTGTTTTCGTTGACTCTTTTCTTTAGAATTTTGTTGTTTTTTCAATTGTACACTATCACCACATTTATCTCTTTCTTCACTATCTCCTTTTGTATAATTTGGCAATAATGCTTCCATTGAAGATTTCACGTTGTTTTCTTGATCTCTTTTATTGCTTTCAAAACTCAGACTGGATTTTTTTTTATTACTCCTTGAATTGCTTTGTGAATTTTTATCTCCAACAGGTAACCTTGAGAATTTGGAAGTATTTGAGGTTTCTTGAGATTTCTCATTTTTGGAAGGATTGGGTAAAAGTGGCATTCTCATTGGTTTAATCAGACATGGTGGATTCTGAATTGCCTGAGAAGAATCTGTAGGATTTGCCTGTGTATTTTTCTTTTTTGTTCTGTGTTTCATTTGGGTCTCTTTTATGGTAGAATTTAATTTTTGTAAATCATTTCCAAATTTCTGAAAAGCATTTTCTAATGATAGTATATGTGCTTTAAGCTCATCATTTTCAACCGAGTTATTCTGTTTACTGTATCCATAGGGAGGATATTGCCCAGGGACTGAGACAGTTGTTGGACCATATGCTGGAAAAGGTAGATTTGCATTGGGCATAGGTAAATATTGAGCATAATTGGATACATGAGGAAAAACATGTTGCTGGGGTTGATTATCAAACTGAGATGAATTTGAGGAACTTGTTGAAGTAGGTGGATCTCTTTTCGGTTTTCTATAGTAAGTTTTTTTGGGATGCCTCGGGTTTGGATCCATTTTATGCCAATGTAATGTTCCGTATTCTTGTAAAATATCCAATTACAACAGATTTCCTAAAAGAAAAAAAAAAGTAATGAAAACTGAAAAATTAGATGAATTCAAGATTTTAAGGTTTTTTATATTGTTTAACATTCAGCAATCCACATTATATGGATTGTTTGTTTATATGGACTATATGCGTATTAGGGCAGGTCGATTTTGGAACTATGGTATTGCACTCGATTTTTGACATAATAAATAATGACACTAAATATTTTTCTCAAAGTCTTTACCATTTTTTGAGGAAATGAGTTTAAAGATTAATTTTATGTTCTAAATTGGAGCATTGGGATTTCATTCCTGTGATCAGTGAAAGCCTTATAGCACAGCCCTAGAAACATTTATAATTGAAATTTATGCAGTTAGTTGGTTTGAAATCAAAAGAGATAATAAATTGCATAAGCAATAACTGTATATCTTTAACATGATTTGGAGAATAAACAACAGTTGACCAAAATACAGAATGTTGCATTAAAAAATGTACAACACAATGCTTTCATCTTGCTTCTAGAAAAGATTCTTTTCTCAATGTTGAAGTCTGATGAATTGGAGGTGAGGGAAGAGGCTATAAGTAAACATGTATTCATAATTAGTTATTTCAATTTCCAAGATTACTTTTAAAATTTCATTCAAATGACATCAGAAAAATATAACCAGGTACGGGTAAATTTTCCAATAAAAATATTTTTTTTTTTTGTTTCAGAATTAGTGAGCCACCAAAGAAGAGATTAAAAAAATTTACATACATCAACTCTGAAGTGACTGCTTGAAGATGGCTTTTCAAATAAAAAGCAGTTCTAATGAATCAAACAACGTTGGAGTTGCTGAATTTACCTGCACATTTGCAGTGTGGAAATAGCAGTTAAATTAAGTACTGAAACTGCAGAGATTATATATGGACAAGAAGCAATGTGTAAGCACATTATTACTAAAGCATTGTGCCACCAAATAAGACCTTCATTTACTTCAAAGTGAAATAATACTGACCAATTTAGCTATATTATAATGTAATATATTATACAATGCAGTAGTTTTAGTTCAATTTTCTATAAACAATGCAAATTTAAAACATTTAATCTTATAATCTGTGCCCTGCAGTACTATAGTGTTACGTACACTTTTATTTAATTTTAGCTTTTATTAATTATGACCTAACAATTGATGTAAAATCTTATTCATTGATTGGTCTTTTTTGTAATTTTTTACAATTTTTCCACAGTTTTCACTTATCAGATACAGTAAAAAAATTGCATATTTTGATTGTGGCAATTCATAATTAGAATTCTGGTTTGAGTATATTTTCAATTCAATGTATCTAACACAAAAAACATCAACTTTATTTGGATTTATTGTTGAAATAGTAAAATTTTGAAGTCAGATTGTAAGGAAAAACCTACAAAAATTAGGTATTTCTATACATTTTTAGATGATTTTTAAAACTAAATGCTCAAAAATTGATAAAAGCTAAGAATCTAAGTTTTGTTGTCGGTACTTAGCACATGAAACTCCAGCTTTTACACCAAGTGCAAGACTGATTTTTTAAAAAAGCGAAATGCTTATATGTACTTTTTTGTTTACATGGATTGTACATTTCAATAGCATAAATTTGTTAGGTATGTGATTTCCTTAATTTGAATCCAACTGTTTTTAAGGAATCAAGTTCACATACAGTTGTCCTCCATTATCTTGTATTACCTGCAGTGAACACCAAAAATAAACAGTTCATCAATTTTAATTCACAATTGCTCCAAAGTGATGGAGTACTGATGCTGGAAATTCATATACATCAAAGAAAAACTGTAAAGAGCTTCCTTTTAAAGGAAAGGTGAAACTTACTAATTAGAAAAGAAAAGAATTGTATGTCGAGTTTGTTAAGATTTACCATCAGAACAAATCTTCTGTCACATAATTTTTATTACATTATATTACATTATAATTGTTCTATTTTATTACTGGTGAGCTTTGGTTAATCTTTTATTTGCCCTATCTATAAATTTAACCTTATTATAGGTATGTATGTATATGAATATATCTAGATTTACTAGCCACCATTTCAAGTATCCACAGGTCTTGGAATGCCACCCCTACAGATAAGTCAAGGAGACTGCAGGGACATTATTATTATTATTTTTTTTATTATTAATAAATAAAATTATAAAATAATAATAATAATAATAATAATAATGGATATCATAAATAAAATAAAGTAAAATAAAACAAGTAACATTAAAACTTTGTTTAAAATAAATAAAAAATAAAAATAAAAATTCTTCCAGCATGCAACAGAAACTGTCCCTGCCGGAAAAATGTACTTCCCGCCAGAAGACGTTGAACTCAACTCTTTTCAATACTGACCACTGATCAGTCAAGACATCCTATTCTGCTTTCTGGGACATTGCTTGTCATAATATGAAGTGAATTCTTCCTTTCATCACATATAACTTAAAAATATTTGTAACCAAAAATACACACACACCAGTACACAAAAAAGATAAATAAATTGCATGATTTTAATCTATTTCACATGCTATGTTATCTCTGTGTATGTTTTATTCATGTGAAGTATGTTTTTATTTCCTGTGAACATGAGGCTATTTCTGCTGCTATGATGTGAGTGACCCCCACAAGACTACTGTACATGTAAAAATAAAGACTAATGTTCTTTCTTAACCCATTAACTGCCAAATTGTTTTAATGCACATTTTTGGCCCAGACAGGTGTCATAGGAGTTTATTTATTCCTTATGTTTAATTTCAGTAGTTACCATTGTCATTTTTATAGAAACTAGAACATTAAATATATATGTGTATAAAACATCAAATGATAATATTGATTAGAAATAATGAAAAATACTTTTCAAAATAGTCATTATTTTTCTACTCATGAAATGTAAAATTACGACAGAAAGTGTTTTCTTACAGCTAATAATAAAAACTTTAAAGACTAAGTGTTGTAAAATATACCTCTACAAACGCAATGTATGCAAGCAATTCAATGTAAATACAAGGAATGTAGTGAGTTTAATTTTAACAGATTCCCAAATGAGGCTCATGGCAGATAATGGGTTAAACTTAGTGTTTATTATCGAAAACAAGAAGTGAAAAGAGATCAAATTTATTCTTACATAATGGGATAAATACTTACCTTGTTTGAAGTTTTGAGATGAAGAATCCTTTTTCTATGAATTTCTGGGACAAGGAGTTATCATTATTTACATGTGAACTTGTCTTCAAGGTGTCAGCAGCAGTTGCAATAAAAGTGAAGCTTCAGTGAGTGCAGTCAAGAGTTAACAACAGAATGTAGGTTGTTTCTGAGATCAGCTGAAATATTTGAGATTAAAACAAATGTATAAAGTTTTAACTTTAACAATGTTTCGTTTTTTTTTCTTTTTTATATTCTTAAAGAATCCAGTAGGGAAATTAAGAAAAAAATATATTTGACCAACTAGAAGAGACTTGCTAATTAGTGTTAGGCATCTTATTTTTAGTTTTTTAAAACTTTTTATTGTTTTCCATGCACATATCTATGAGTGTTTTTAACTGGTCAATTGGTAATGATTGAAGTACCCTGAAAGAAAGGTTTATATTTGCTTACTTAGTATTTCCTGTATTTTTGTGTAACTTCTTTGAAAAGTTAGAATGTTTCTATCCTGTTCTTGGAGTGTGCTTTAACTGTATTCTTTTATTAATCTTGAACTAAATTCTAGCCCCACCCCATTCCACTCCTATGGCCTTAGTAGAAGTAGAACTATAAGTTTCAGTAGGTAAATTTTGTTTTCCTAGGTTACCAACACCAAGATATTAGACCAACAAGAGACTGATGGGTTCTTATTTCTAATTTATTTTCAAAATATTTTTTTTTATTTACACTTAACACCTTCCATAAACTTGGGAAGGATTTCTCCTTCAGACAGCAGTTTATCAAATTTGCCAATATTGGTGAGTTAATGTTCTTAAGGACAACCACTTGGACTAGCATTTTAGGGTCAAAGATTTTGATAAGACTGGACACTTCCCAGGCTGTAACAGAAATGTTACTAAGTTTGTGCTTTTTGGGTGCAAGTAAGTTGGGAAGAGGAAGGTCCTTGATACATAACATGGAATTAGAGGCAAAGTGTGTGGCAAAGAGCTTTGCCATATTGATGAGGATGAGATAACCTCAGGAATATTTATAAGAGTAACCACTGATGCTTTGCCTCTTTTGTGAATTTGGTCAGAGATTTTCCAGAACTCACAGGATCAGAGCCTTTTGCTTTTGATCTTGGCTTGGATTGGATTGCTTGTGCCTAGCTACTAATTGTGCTGCAAGCAATTCTGAATGTAGAAAGGGCCAGACTATATCATTTCCTGGGATAGGGATTGTAATAGTGGTTATGGTGAGCTATGGCTGCAACAAATTCTGACATGAACCAGGGATAGCTATTTGGTTTTTGTTGGTATTTCTTCTGGGGGATAAAATGTTCCATGCCAGAAAGGATGCATTCAGAGAGAAGGGAAGCAGTTCTGGAGAGAAGCTTCCACTATGTTAGATCTGAAGCTATCCCAGTTAACTTTGGTGTACTAAAAGGTTATTCTATGAAACAGTGCATCAGATTTGGTATCAACACTGACCAGTAAATGATCTGAAGTGCCCAAGTGAAGTAACATTTCAGCAGACCATTTTTCATGGTTGAAAGTGAGCAAGAGATCCAAGAGGTTTGTGGATTGCCACGTTGCCTCAAGAACATGAATGCATAACTAATGATGGGATGATACCAATATTTTTACCGATTCTGATACAATACCCGAGACTGTTCTAAATTTCTGATTTCGATACAATTTCTGGTTCTGATTCTAATACCTACAATGATTAAAGTTCATTATTTTCAGGCCATACAATTAGTTTAGGAAACTTCATGAACAAAATACATAAATAATAAAATATTTAGTAAAAAAAATGAATACAATAGCTTATGAAATAGATATGTTTTTTTTATTTAAAAAATTGGGTAATAGTTTAAACAATAAAGAGAACAATTTCTAAATCACTTAAGTACCTAGCTACTTATATGTCCTAAAATTCTTAAATTATAATCTAAGAACATTATCATCTCTCCTGTTTTGCCTTTCAGCTAATTTCTTTTTGGTAATTAAATGTTATCTCCAATACTAAATAACCCTTAACTTTCAACAGAAGAGAAAGATGCTGATAGATATTTCCAGGCTAAAAGCATCATGATAGGAAATTCATTTTTATTTGAATTCCACCACTGAAAAACATTATCATCACTTTTTATATTTTTAAATGGAATTTATTTTTCTATTTCAAGTTTTAGTAAATATATTTCTTTGCCTGTTTCACTGACTGCTTTATCTTGTCCTCTTTTCCTTCAGCACTTTTTTGTTTCAGTGAGGCATTTCATAAAACTGAAATTAGTCATTATCATAATCACTTTTCTCTTCAGACAAGTCATTCTCCATGCCTTGTGATACTTTGGGTGAAGTTTTTGTTTTTCCTTCAGTTAAAGAATAAATATCTTGAGTGAACTATTCCACAATAAACTTGTCATTAAGCAGGCTACTGTATTTATTTTCAAGGAAATCAGTCTTGAACCTGGGATCAAGATATTGTTACAGTTTTTTTTTCAGTTAAAGAATAAATATCTTGAGTGAACTATTCCACAATAACCTTGTCATTAAGCAGGCTACTGTATTTATTTTCAAGGAAATCAGTCTTGAACCTGGGATCAAGATATTCTTACAGGTTTTTTTTCAGTTAAAGAATAAATATCTTGAGTGAACTATTCCACAATAACCTTGTCATTAAGCAGGCTACTGTATTTATTTTCAAGGAAATCAGTCTTGAACCTGGGATCAAGATATTGTTACAGTTTTTTTTCAGTTAAAGAATAAATATCTTGAGTGAACTATTCCACAATAACCTTGTCATTAAGCAGGCTACTGTATTTATTTTCAAGGAAATCAGTCTTGAACCTGGGATCAAGATATTGTTACAGTTTTTTTTTCAGTTAAAGAATAAATATCTTGAGTGAACTATTCCACAATAACCTTGTCATTAAGCAGGCTACTGTATTTATTTTCAAGGAAATCAGTCTTGAACCTGGGATCAAGATATTGTTACAGTTTTTCCTTCAGTTAAAGAAGAAATATCTTGAGTGAACTATTCCACAATAACCTTGTCATTAAGCAGGCTACTGTATTTATTTTCAAGGAAATCAGTCTTGAACCTGGGATCAAGATATTGTTACAGAATGCGAAGGCCAGTGCCAGAATAGTCAGCAATTGGCTCAAGTGACTTGTGGGCAAGGTATTCTGACAGTGATGGATTGCCTTTGGGTTTTGAATATAATCCCAAAACAGTTTGAATTCAACACAAGGTCTCAAGAATTCTGAAGTCACCCCCACCCAGGTTAGCAACTGGCTAAGACCACTACCAGAGGGACTCTGAGCAAATGTGCAACATGCATTCCTGTCAGTTCAACTATCTCTTAGAATACAGCTGTCAAGGTTAATAAAATGAATACCAAGAGTAAATGACCCCTTTTTAGTGATACCGTTTTTATTAATAGTTGAGGATCCCAAGACAACACAAGGCAACAGATACTTTATGATGCCATAGTGTGCATATTTCTGCATAAATAAATTTTTACGAACCTGAAATCACTCCAACAGATGATTGGTAAGGTAAGTGCCCATTAATCTTTGCCTTGTTGTGCCCTTTTTGCCAACACTTAAAATGGAGCATTTTGCCAAATTTATTCAGAGCCTCACATCAGAGATTAAAAATATTAGTGACTCACTGAGGGCACACAAATACCTCCGTGAGATACAAACTTTAGATAGAAGAATTAACGGGTTTAGAAAATGGGTAGGAGAGATGGAGTTTTATTTTATGCTTGTTGATTCCTCAAAGGACCAAAGGCTAAAGACAGCTCTGCAAAAGACAGCAGGTGCTATAGAAAAATACTGCCAAAGCTGATATTTAATAGCCTGCAGATTACTTGGGAGGTACTAAAGTCTGCACTTGCAGAATACTGTGAAGAAACAGTAGTCCGTCATATATGTCTCAGGCAGCTGTCTAATATTAGACAGGGTAAAGATGAGGAAATCCAATCTTACATGGATAGATCATTAAAATTAGTGGAGAGGGCTTATGTGGGAGCAGGCCGTGGAGAATTGATAGTAGCATCACAGCTTAAAAATTTTTTCATGGAGTGGTTAGATAATGTAGATATTAGGATAGTGGTCTTCGGAGAACAACTAGGAATGTTACAGGCTACTTATGAAAAGGCACTAGTAGAGAGTAAGTTGAGATATAGGGTTGGATTAAATTTAGGTAGGGAACACATGCATGAACCCATGAAGGTTTGTCATACTAGGAGAAGAACCAATGTATAAGCTAATCCCAGGACAGGAAGGAATACCAGGGAAAAAGGATTTGCTCCACCTAATATATACAATAGAAATAGGTATAGCCAGATAGGAAGTCACAGACAACCTGAAGATATAATTAATAGAGGCAGAAGTGTAGTTATCTGCTTGAATGTGTTGGTGACAGTCACATCAGATGGAGTTGCAAGCGATTGATGTTGGGATACTGGGAATGTTCCGTCAGCCAACTAAACAGAGAAAGGAATTACTGACATATGTAGTCAATAATATGGGATCACCCAATTCAGTTAGGATTAGGCTAAGTAGACATTCTTAGAGGGCTCTGGTAGATACAGGAGCAGAATTATCAGTCATACATAGAAGAGTTTACAGCATGTTGCAACCCAAACCCAAAATATTAAAGAGAGAGGGATATCTACAAACACATAGGCAGCCAGCTCACACTGCATAATTTTTATGTAATGAGAAACTTAAATAAAAATATATTATTGAACGAGACTGGCTACAGCAAAATGTGGATAGAATTTATTTCAATTGAAGAGCACTACATCTAGAAATATGTAGCTTTAGAAGACAGGTATGTTTTGTCTATGAATAGGAAGTTACTCCAGTAATGTTAAAGGCCCAGTTCATGCACACATGTAAGGCAAAAGTTGGATTGTGGGATGTTAAGTTAACAAACTCTTATGAAATTGAACAATTAAAATCAAGGTTCATTTGTATGTGGTGTGTCGGTAGCAAGTGTGGCAGTAATAGTAGGTGCAAGGGGCAGAATCTCACTACTCATTGTCAATAATACAAACCAGACAATTACTTTCAGACAAGAGTGCCCGATAGCTAGGCTTAATCAGATAAATTGCAAAACTGCATCATGTCAAAGATGGAGAATTAGAACAAACGAACATGTCAGAAGAATTTAGGAATTAGCT